CCCCCCCCCCCCCCTCTCTCTCCCCCCCCCCCTCTCTCTCTCTGTGGAACCTCTTGATGCTTCAAAGATGAGTTAGTAACGGAGGGTGAGACGGTGGCATTGTCTTGCTGGGGAAAGGGAGGGCCCGGCTTGCCGCTTGGTACTGCCAGGTGTCTGACCCCAGAGGGATGGAACGTGACCCACTTGACGTTGCCTTGCAGGAAATAGACAGACGACTGGAAAAGAAACTGAAAATCAGCCAAAAAGAAAGGTGAGACTGTTTAGAATCATTCGGTAGCGTTCTCCTCTGTGGGGGCTGGGAAAATCAGAGTGGCGTTCCGATTTTTGTTTTTAAAGAATCTTATCTCGAACCTCCAAGCCCTGATTCTGCTGATTTAGTCAGAAAATCTTGATCGGCAACCAAGAGAATAAGCCTTGGCCTGGTGCCTTGCGTTTTCGGTGATGAGGCAGAGGCTCTTAGTTCAAAGCAGGGGTCTCCAACCTTGGCCACTTTTAAGTTTTGTGGACTTCAACTCCCAGAATTCCTCAGCCAGCTTTGCTCTGGGAGTTGGAAGTCCACAAGTCTTAAAGTGGCCAAGTTTGGAGACCCCTGGTTCTAAGGACTGGGGGGGGGGGGGTTGGCCAACAGCATTAAAATATTGTCTCCCCCTCTGCTTCCTTACAGCAGGAAATCCAAGTCCCCCCCAAAAGTGCCGATTGTAATTCAGGACGACAGTCTTCCTTCGGGCCCGCCTCCGCAGATCCGGATCTTAAAGCGGCCCACGAGCAACGGGGTGCTGACCAACCCCAACTCCACCAGCCGACCTGCCTTCCCCGTGAAGACCCTGGCCCAGAGGGAGGCCGAATACGCAGAGGCCCGGAAGCGGATTCTGGGCAGCGCTAGCCCGGAAGAGGAGCAAGAAAAACCCATCCTTGACAGGTAAGAGAGTCCTGGCGCTGCCGCCGCTGCTCAATTTCTCTGCCTTGCTCTCCTTCTGACCTCTGGGTCTCTGCTGCCCTGAGGCCAAGATCCTGTCCATGCCCAGAAGATGAGGATGTAGGGCCTTCCAGCTCAGGCTTTTGTCCCATTGGGCTCAGCTTGGGGGAAGAGGGGAAGTGGGGAGAGAAGCATGTGGTCAACTCATAAAACATCCCTATGCCTGTTTTAGTAGTTGCCATAAAAAAAAGTGGGAGGAGAGGAAGGAAATCTGGAAAAGCAGTGCAGCATTTGAAAGCAAAAGTACATTCCAACTCTTATCTTTAAAAGATTGTAGCTAAACTACCAGAGCTTTTGCCAGCAAATATATTTAATTGGAGAAGGTGATTGATGACACCCAGCCTGTGAAGGTGCTCAACTGGTTTGTGAGACACCCAGGGTGGAGTGGGGGAAACAGGGTCACAGGGGACTGTAAATTACATGTGCCAGAGTTGGCTTCATACAGGGCAGGGCCAGTATGTTGCCTCTAATGAATCCTTTGGAGTTTTTTGAAGTTTGGCTCGAGAATCATGATTTAATTAGGGCAACTTCTGGAATCCTGACCCATGTTCAGAAAGCCACTTCGAGGGGATTGGTTTCCCAAAGGAGGATCTCGTCCTGAGCCTCCTTGGGTCTGGACCACCAATCCTTTTCTTCGGAGAGCTGGGCCTCATCCCTCCTTCGGAGCCCCCTGTGGGGGGAGCTTTTAGCTGGACTGAGTGTTCTTCCCCTTCCCTCCCCCAGGCCCACGAGGATCTCCCAGCCAGAAGACTCCAGGCAGCCCAGCAATGTGATCCGGCAGCCGTTGGGCCCCGACGGTTCGCAGGGCTTCAAGCAACGCAGATAGGCTCGGCCGGCTGACCAGCTGCAATGAAAGCAGGGTGCTCCCCCTCCTCAGCAGGCCAATGGACCTGAGCCACAGGGGCGGGACTTGCTCTAAGCGTCCTCTAGGCCTTTTGCCTCTGGTGACCCTCCGCACTGGGACTCCTGCTAGAATCGACATGCCAAGGAGGGCCCACCGAGGGAGGAGCCGGCAGCAGGGCAGGCTTCTCTTCCGGGGGACCGGCTTGCTGCAACTCGCTGCCTGCTGAAGCGAGCATCCGGTCCCGGCAAAGGAATGACTTTCTCCCGCTGGCTCCCTCCGGGATCGGAAGCGAGAGGCAGGGGTGGGCTTCTACCTCTCAACATGTGCACGTCGGTGCGTGTTACGTTTGGAGCAAGGTACAGACGGGGGCGGGGGGGCGGAAGGTTGGATCCGCAAAGGTTGGATCCTTTGCCTTGGGGGGCGGGATGGCTTCGCGCATGGGAAGAAGAAGAAGAAGAAGATGAAGAAGAAGAAGATGATGAAGAAGAGGAGGAGGAGGAGGTGTGTTAGCTGTTTTGACTTGTTTATCTGAGAAACGGTAGTTGCTAGCGTCGAGAAAGGAGGAGGGGAGTTTGGAGAAAGCGGCGGTGGGCCACTCTTCCTATTCCTGCTTGCTGCCCTTTGGAATGGACGGACTGGAGGAGGGTGCCTCGGCCTCTTCTTTCCACCAGGTCGTCCTCCACCGCTTCGTGAGACGGCAGAGATCCCTCTGCCTCTGTGGGACGAGCTGGGACCCTTCCTCTGCCTCAGGGCAGGAGGGTTTCCCCTGCCCTCTGGTCTTGACCGGCCCTTTGCCTCTTGGTGCTGCTTCTAGACAAAGATATGGGAGGCCTGCTATATTTTGCCACTAGGACTCCTGGGCTAGGAATAGAATAGTTCCTGCCTCCCTGCTGGTCCTCGGGAGGATGCAGGTGGCGGGGGGGGGGGGGTGGGGAGAGCAAATGTCGCTTGTGTTGGCCGTGGACGTCAGGCCAGCTGGGGCCCCCGTGCGTTGAGGCGTTCGGCCTTGTTCGTTCTTGGTCAAGTCTGCTTATTGGGAAGGCAAAAGAAGTGCGCAAGGGATGGAGATCAGGTGTCCTTTCCCCTCTCGAAACGGGACGGATCCCCCAAGACTCCGAAGGCCTCAAGAACAGGACCGTTTTCAAGATGGGAATAATGGATTTGCAGTGATGGGGGGGGGGGGGCGCTCCGTGGCTTGCAGGCCCTAAGCAATACTACTTTAGCTTTTTCCCAGGTGGTCGGACAAAAAAAAAGACACTCGAGGTGGACTGGTTAGGAGACCCTGCCAAATGTCGGACCAGCTGGGGCTTTGCTCCCTAGCAGCCATATTTGAGGGTGGGGAGGGGGAGAGCCTCCCTCCCCCATCACTTCCAGGTGCCTGGGCTAGCTCGCTTCACTGTGTTTTCCAAGTCTGCCTTTCGGTTTTTTGCTGTGTGGTTTCGGGAGGACAGGAGCGGCGTAGAAGGGGACACCTCCGCTGCGACCTGTCTCAAGGGGAACCCCACCCTTAAAAATCCTCTCCTCCTGGGAGAGAAGGAAAACACGGAGGGGGGCAGGAGGGTGTAACTGTCTCTCTCTGCGTGCGTGTGTGGGGTGGGCGGGTGGGTGTGCCGGAACGGTGTCTCTTTGTACATCAACACAGGAAGTGTGTCAAAATACCGCAAAAGAAGTAACCGGTCAAAAGAGTAATAATAGAAATAAAAGTACCTGTGTACAAAAAAAGTGAAAAACCCGGCTGGCCCTTGAGTGTGTGTATATCCTCTCTGTCCATCCCTGCCTCTCCCTGGTTTGCTTTTCTGACCCTTCCCCAGATCTTCGGCCTCCCCTTGTTCTCCCCCATTCTTGAAACTGCCTCTCCCCTTCTAACCCTGGAACTGCCTCACTCCAGCTGCCTTCCCACCCATAGTGGCTAAGGTTCGAATCATTTGTACAGATTAACGGAAAGGGTGCTTGGAGGTCATCTAGTCCAACCCCGCCCCTCCCGCCCAAGCAGGAGACCCCACACCATTTCTGACAAATGACAGTCCAGTCTCTTCTTGAAAGCCTCCCTTTCGTACCTCCCTTAGGATGTTAAAAAGACGAAAGGACGGGGGAGCCGTGCAATTGTTTGAGCAACTTTTAATTTTCCCACGGTAGCGGAAGGGCAAGCGGCGGCTCCCACCCCCCCCCCCCCCCCCGGGCCTTACCCCCGGCCCCGGGCCTTGGGTTTTTTCGGCTCCCGAGGCTGGATCCCGGCCGAGGGGGGTGGGGGCGTCAAAGGGAAGGCAAAGACAAACACACACACACACACCCCATGATCTAATCGGAGCCGGTCCCGGGGCGGGGTGGTTACTGTGGACCCGCGGGCCGGGAAGCGGCGCCCTTCGGGGGAGAGTCCGGGTGGGGGGGGGTCTGCTTTGCGTTGCGGTAGGAGAGGAGGGATCGGCGCTAAAAGTCCCCCGAGGCGCGCCGGGGTCCCCAAACTTGGCAACCTTTAAGACTTGTGGACTTCAACTCCCAGAATTCCTTAGCCCGCATAGGAGCGGCTGCCAGCACAAGTGGAATTCTGGGAATTGAAGTCCACAAGTCTTAAAGGTTGCCAAGTTTGGAGACCTGATTTGCAACGCTGTGTTTGAAATAAACGCGCCGACTTTTTCAACGTGCCCCTCCTGCTTCTCATTCCCTGGGGCGAAGGGAGGTTTGGGAGGGGCGGCGAGGGGGCCAGCCAGGGCAGAGCCGTCTCAGAATCTTCTCCCACGCCCCCCGAGCGTCGCTGCAACCCGCGTGGCGCCCGGGAGCGGCTCCTCCGCCGACCCGCCAGGGGGCGCCAGAGCCGCTTTATGAAAACATAAAGGGCGGCGTGGGTGGGGCTTCCCGTTTCCGCGGCGAGGGAGTGACGGCAGGCGCGTTCCTCGCGGAGAGAAGACTCCTGCGCATGCCCGGAAGAGCCCAGCGTTCCGGTGGAGGGGGGGGCAAGATGGCGGAAGGCGAAGACTACGAGTCCGTCTTGTGCGTCAAGCCGGAGGTCCACGTCTACCGGGTGCCCCCGCGCGCCTCCAACCGCGGCTACCGGTGAGTCTCCCCCCCGGCGGTTAAGGGTCGTGGGCGGTGCGGGATTCCCAGACCCATCATCCCCTGGCTGGGCTGACCGGCTTCCAGGTTCCTCGGAAGAAAACCCTGCTGCTGCTGCTGGGCATGCGCAGAGAGATCTCCTGCCCCCGTTCCCCCCCCCCCCAACTTTCCCCGGCAAAGCGGATAACGGGGAGCCGGTCGTGGGGAGACTCCCCAGAGCGAGAAGCGGCGCTGGAGGGCCGGGCTAGCTTGGCTTTTCCTCCCGCCGCTAGTGCCGCGGAGTGGCAGCTGGACCAGCCGTCCTGGAGCGGCCGAATGCGCATCACAGCCCGGGGCAGCGTGGCCTTCATTAAGCTGGAGGACAAGAACTCGGGTAAGGGGCCGCCCGGGGGTAGGGCTGAGGGGTCTCCCCGGAGGGCATGGCCCGAGGGCCGCGGGATACCGGTGGGCAGGCAACAGCGGACCGGCTGCCCACCTGGCCCTCCTCCCCTCCCCCAGGAGAGCTTTTCGCCCAGGCTTCCGTGGACCAGTTTCCTGGCATCGCCGTGGAGGGCGTGACGGACTCGAGCCGGTACTTTGTCATCCGGGTCGAAGATGGGAATAGTACGGGTGGGGGGGTGCTTTGGAGCCTGCCCGCGGGGGGGGGGGGGGGGGGGGGGGGAGATCCAGTCTTTGGAGAGGGAGGGGCAAAGTTGGTTGTAATTTTACCGGGAAAGCCTTGTCTGTGGCATCCGACCCCTGTCCTTGGTGCTGATGGTGGAGGCTTTCCCCGGTGCTAGGGGGAAAAGGGCAGAAATCATTCTAAGGGAACCTAGTGACACGCTCTTCACTCTTTCTTTCCTTAAGTGGCGTGCAAGGCTGTGGGCAGCCCTCCCTTGGGCCATCCGCTTCCCCCTTCTCTATTTATTGGGCTGCTTCCCAACCTGGGCTCTTCTGCGAATATCCTTGGTTCTCTAAGCTTCCGCTCGGCTCTCCTCTCTCAATGCCTCTTCCTTGTTCGATCCGCCGAATCTTCTTTGCTATCCACGATAACTCTCTGTTAACCGGATCCACGGGCACCTGCGTGGGTGGCTACGGCCCATCCTAGCAGACAGGCACCGTGAGAAGGTTGAACTCTCGGCAGCCCTCCTTAGTGGGCCTGTGGCTTCTCACCAGGTCACCAGCCTGGGTGGAGAGGGCCCTTTGGGCGGTTCTGCTGCAATCGAGCTCTGTGTGCGCGAATGCTTTGGTACGACTCTGCCTTCCTGAGGTCTTTCTTTCAGGCTTCCCAGTGGGCTAAGCTGACAGCCAGTGACTTCCGCCGCCATCCTGAGCCTAGTTTTCCTTACAGGGCGGCGTGCATTCATCGGAATTGGCTTTGTTGACCGAGGTGATGCTTTTGACTTCAATGTGGCGCTGCAGGATCATTTCAAGTGAGCAGCCTTTCCTTGGTGCCAGGACTCTGCTGGAGGCTCTTTTCCCAGGGAGGGAAATCCAGCAGAGTTGGTCTCCCATGACCAGTCACGGTTGATCCTTCTTGACCTGCACCCGCCACTCAAAACCTGGCAAAAAACCTGGCGTTTGGGAACAACGCTGACAACCTTTGTTTATATCGTGTTTTGCATTTATTCGCTGCCCATCTCGCTGTCATGCAACTCTGGGAGATTTAAAATTTGATAAAACAATATAAAAGGCCCAACACAATAAGACAATAAATTAAAAAAATAAAGAGGAAATAGTTAAGGTAGTGGGGGGGTGGGTGTACAATAGAGTGGCGGAGGTATCTTTTAATGCAATAACCACCTCCAAGACAGCACATGCCCAGTCTGCAACCTTGGTAGAATGGCTCCACTTTAACAGCCTTCCTTGACCTTGTTTGGGAGAGCGCCCTCAGAATCAGCGGGGGAAGGCTTGTTCTAGAGCAGGGCCATTGAACTCCTATCCTGCTGGCCAGATGTGACACCTGCTGGCTCCGCCCCTGCCCAGTTTAGCGAAGGAGGGGGGGGAAAGTCCTGATACGTCACGTGATGCTGCCATGACGACGCGAGTTTGACACCCCTGTTCTAGAGGGAGGAAACTACAGAAAACATTCCAGTTCTCCTCCTCTCCTCCAGGTGTTTCAGAAACCTCTCGGGAGCCATACCTGGGCCAAACAAGGGAACGAGATCCAAAGCAGCAGGGGTGGGGGACCACAGATTCCATCCCTGCTTGTTTCTCACCCCCTTGTTTCCTGCTCTGGGGGGAAATAACAGATTTGGGAGGTCACCTTTGCTACGTGGATTTTTTTTTTCTTCTTCTTCCAGGAATAGAAATGCCTGTCTTAAGTAACTGGCCTCTCCCTTACCGATTTGGCCTGCATCTTTTCTTGCTCTCCACCGCTTTTCTTTCTCTTTCTTTCTCTCTCTCTCTCTCTCTGTAGGTGGGTCAGACAACAGAATGAGTTGGCCAAAGAAGCCCAAAACCCAACCCCGGTGCCCAAACTTGACCTGGGCTTCAAGGAAGGGCAGACCATCAAGCTCAACATTGCGGTAAGAAAGGCCTTGGAGGGTTTTTTTTTGTCCAGGGTTGTGGAAGCAGGACAGATGCATTCAACTCCAGTTATAAGGCTCGGCAGTGCAGTGGCCCTCTGTCAGTTCGGTGGGTGATTCCTGCCCTGTTTGAGTCCTGGGAAGGGAAGCGGAACCTGAAGTCCGACGTTTGGGGAAGAAGTGAGGGCGAATCCCTCCTCCTCCTTGGGCTCTGTCCTCAAGTGGGAGGCTTCCAAGGGTGCCTTTTTTGGTCTTCCCCCAGAACATGAAAAAAAAGGATGGCTCCTCGGGAAGCAGGCCACGAACTTCTGACACCACAGGACTCCCCCTTCTTCCCCCGCCTCCCGGGGGGAAGAACCCCTTCCTCCCCACACCTGGAGAGCAGCTTCTCTTGCCTCTTCCGGGAACCTCACCAGATGCCATCCAAACAGGTCTGTGTGGCTCCTCGAAGGGGGTGGTGGTGGTGGGTGGATTCACTTTGGTACCAAAGTAGTAAAGGGAGCTCCTGCTTTGAGACTTCCTGAGCTGTCTGGTGGTGTAGGTGGGATCACCTGGGGCCTTTTACACCCACCTCAAGGACCACAGGCCCCATTTCCCTCCCCCGTCATCTAGCCGCCCCTTAGCAGATGCATCCGTTGTGCAAAGGTCTTTTTAAGGAAACGGACGCATGCTAAGTAATAGGACTTCTTTTTGCCAGCTCAGACAAAAGCCCTTTCTTGGAGGAACATCTGGAAACAGGAAAGACAAAGCTAACCTCTTTTTTTCCTCCCTGCACTTTGTTTGCCAGCAGATGTTGCCGGGTCTCGGACCTCACAGCCGCCAAGTTCTTCAAGAGAAGCTTCTGCAGACATCTGGGGAGATTTCACCCAAGCTTCTGGGTAAGGAGATGCCCCTTTTGTCATGTTTTGGGAGGTTAAGTCCTGCTCCCTCGCGTTCTCCAGCACATTTTCTTTCTCCCAAAAGGACAGGAGCAGTGGAACTATTGTGCCCATACAGTGGGGAATTGTCTTGAAGTCCTGCACCATGACAAATTTAGCGTTGCTGTCCCTTTTTTTATAATATAGCCTAGACCAGGGGTGTCCAACCTTGGCAACTTTAAGACTTGTGGACTTCAACTCCCAGAATTCCTCAGCCAGGAGTTGAAGTCCACAAGTCTTAAAGTTGCCAAGGTTGGACACCCCTGGCCTAGACCTTATCAAAGAATGTGCTAGCCCCTCTATTTACATAAGACCACAAAATCAACTTCCCAGGAAGGATAAAGCCACTTTTAGTGAGATTGGGTATAAATTCTGATTGTATAACTTCTCCTTCATGCTTCAGTGAATCAGGGAAGGTCTACCTGCACAGCTTTCAAATGTTATCTGGACTCTCTGAACTTAAAGTTTTGGCCCATTTTTGCCTAGGCCAGAGTTTTTATATATCTTCGTCATCTCCCATCCTCTGAACCAGCATTTCCCAACCAAAGGCAAAGACCTTATGGACTTCAGCTCCCAGAATTGCCCCGGCTGCTTGTCTATGGAATTCTGGGACTTGTAGTCAACCTATGTTAAAATTGTTCATGTTGGGAAACAGTGTTTTAAACCGTAGGACAATCTCAGTAGCTTGAGCAAGAACTACATTAGTCTTTTCGAATCAGTAAAATTTATAATTCATCAATCAAGTATGGTATTTTAAATAGTATTCTTCTACTGAACGATAATTGTAAATAGTGGGTGAATTTTTCCATTAAACAATAGAATTAAGTGCAGATCAAAGAGATATGTTGCATATTTGACTTTGGAGTTTTATCTCCTTTAATGGCCAGCGCCAAGTCAAGGTTGCTTGCCTGCTGTTAATTTTCACAGTAGCTGTAATTTAATTAATCAGTGAATTGTTTAAGAGATCAGCTGCTCCATTTGTTAGAGCAGGGGTCCCCAACCCCACGGGCTGTGGCCTACTACTGGGCCATAGCCCCTTCAGAACTGGGCTCCCACAAGTGGGGAGCATGCATGGACGCAGCTCCATTTGTGTGCCTGCCGTTTTCACAAATGCACACACTCATGCACACACACCTGCCATTCACAGAGAAGTCCGTCAAGCCGGAAAAGTTTTGGGACTGTTGTGTTAGAGCACAAGTTTTCAGACTCCGCTAAAGGGCTGCCACGGGGTGCTAAGTATCATTTCAGGCGACTTCTGCTTTCCTCCCTTGGAAATTCTTGCTGGAGTCCTTAAGAGGTGTCTCCAGCACAGAGGCTGCCTACCTGGTTAAAATTCCTGGAGGTTGTAAGTACCACTTGTTGATCGCAGAACATCCGAGTTTCTGCCCAAACCATGGACCCCCAAGGTGTGGCTTCTGGTTCCAGCAAGTGCCGGGGAATATCTCTAGTTCAAGGGCTGTGTTTGTCTTTGTCTCCTCGTAGGTCCGGCTCTCAGCCTCAGCAGAACTCGGGTTGGGTCCAGTTCTGAAGCAGAAGGGAAGGCCCAAAGGCCAAGGAGAGGAACTGCTTTTGGAGGCCAGAGACCGGGAGATGGGCTGTGCCTCGCTGGCTCTCCCAACAGATCCTCTGCCTGGATGGGTTTGGCTTTGGCTTTGGACCTTGTGGCAAAGCAGAGGAGGGGGCTCCCTGCAAATCGCACAGCTCTCTCTTCCACCAGCACCTGGGACTTGTGTGTGTGTGTGTGTGTGTGTGTAGGGGGGGCTGCAGTGGCTCAAATGCCAGCCTGTTGCTTATGAAGCAGAGATCTTCTCGCCTGCTCCTCTGTCTCTCTTCCTTCCCAAGAGGAGCAATGTACTTTGGAGGGGTGGGGAATGGTTGCGCCAGGACAACCAACAATGTTGGGTTAGGGTCAGAGCCCAAAGGGTTGGGAAGTAGCCTTTGGAGGGACTCTGCCCCGCGGGGGCTTGGGCGCGTCGTTTTCTCTTTCGGGGACTCCACGCGCGGCGGCGGCGGCGTCTTTCTCTCCTGCACTCCGTGTCCCGAATAAAAACCTTTCTTGCCAGCCAGCCTCGCGCTTCCTTGTTTTGACAGCTGGGGGAGGGCGGCGGCGGCGGCGGCGTTGCGGGTGGGCGGGAATGACCTCAGGCGGCCACCGTAGCCAGGCGGAGGGGAGGGAGGCGGGAAACGCTCGCGCGCGCCTCTTCAGCACGGGGCCCGCCTCCTCGCCCGGTGCCATAGCAACCGCCGGTGTGTGTGTGTGGGGGGGAGCCCTTCAGACTGCGGCCCTCGCGCCCTTTCCTCGCCGGGCGCCCTCCGGCTCTGAGGCAGCCGCGTCGGCGGTCTGGTCCGGGGCTAGGAGGACGGGGGGGTGCAGCGCCTTGAGAAAAAGGCCTCTGCGGCAAGCCCCCCTACTCGACTTCGGCGGCGACCCTTCGGCGGGAG